CAAGCGGGAAATGTGGAAAAGGGAGAGACAGGAAAGAGGAAGTGGCTGGCAGTGGTTGTTCCTGAAGTTCAGGAGAACAAGAAGAAAAAGTAGGCACTATGGCAGGCGCAGCGAGCCAGTTGCTTCCCATGGAGAGGTTACAATCAAACAGCTGCTTGTTCAAGACAGTGAGAAAGGTACTCCCCTCCTGGCTTGAAGGACGTGAACCATGGTTGGATCACCAAGCTGTGCTAGGATGGACAGAGAGGAGATGAGATGTGAGCTAAGTGAGCAGCATGGGAGAGCAACAAAAAAGTAGATCTACAGTAGAAATGCAGCATTTGAGAGGAACGTCAGTCGTTTACTAGAAGAAACACTGAATGTAAGAGAGATGTACAAAGGAAATTTCAGGAGGCAATATATATTTTGTAGGAAAAGGAGTGGTTAAGGGTGGGATCTGACCTTCCTCCTGAATTTCTGTTAAAATCCCTCTATATTTACAAAAATAAAACAAGCTCTCTATCTCAGATCTGGAGACTTATTCAATTCTACTCAAATTGTAGTACACATAAATTGTCAACATTTACATTTTAATAACAATAAGTTCAACACTTTATTTCTAGGGTTGGAGTCCATTTTAATTCTTCAATTCCAGTTCCTTCTTTCAACACAACTCCCCCTTCCATCTCTTTTGGAACAGTCACACGTTTGGAATTTAGAATGGGGTCGTGAAAAAGATTAGCTGATTTTAACTTTGCTAATTTCCAGCAAACATACACTTTTCAGTATTGCAGTCTTCATAAAAATAAACACTGCTTTTAAAGGTTTCTCTAATATGAGTAACATTGGAACACATTTCATAGGTACCATGCTTTCCTTTCTAGCTATTTTCTTTGAAAAGAATAAAAGAGTAATTAAGAACAATTTATACCTCAAAGTAAACAGAAACTGTAATATTATAACCAAGCAAATAACATGAACATACCTGTAGGCCTATAGAAAACTGCCTAGTGTAAATTGCCTGGTGTGGTTTTTGAGGCAGTCTGTAGAGAAGTAATGCCCTGCCTGTTGGTTTTGTGCAGGTTAGGTAGCATTTACATAAATTAGAAATAAATCATAATGGGAATTTATGTACAGATAACAAATTACATGTACTTCTGAGCATTCTGAAAAACACTGCTGTGTTGTTACGACCTCCACTGCGCATTCAAGCAATGATTACAATGGATTGGATTTAATGCGCACAAGCCTTTAGAACCATACAATATAAATACAAATGAGGGGCTGACTAGCAGAAAACTAAATCTTTCAAAAGCATATATTATTTATTTTGTTTTAAATTAATGTGTATCCCAATTAAAATAAAAAAGCAATCATACTAAGACATTGCAATCAAATAATAAAATACTAAATTAATCCAGCCTAAAATGCATTTTTTCTGTCTGTAACTACTTATTTTCTCTTTGAATTTCACCAAATGGGTTTTAAACTAATATTTCCATCAACCATCATGCCGATTTTTTTGCTATTTTCCGATGAAAGCATAAACGGTAGCCTTCATAAATGTATAGATACCTGGCTCTCAAAAAGGCAGGACCCCAATCTACAAATGAGTACTGTATCTGTAACCACATTCTACACTATTGCTACATTATGGTACTGTATACAGAATAGTGATGTTTGCAATTCACATTACTGGCATTGAGGTAAATAAAAAGCAAAAAACTCTACAACCATGTACGTCTATCATACATAAATGGTAAAAGCATGTCTTACATCAGAAAAGGAGAAAAAAAATAACTTCAGAATTCAAATGCAACACAGAAGAACAACACTTTTTCATTAAACCCTCAGTCCAAAACAGAATTTTCTAGTCTCTTATAAACTTTGTTAATTTTTGACAGTCATTTATACTTTGGGAGACCAAAATTTGGCTTATATTCTTACTGGAAATTTGATGGTATTTTGATGGTAGTAAAATATTATGAAAATGTGTTTTTTGATTATGTAAAGTCTTTTTTTGTGTATTTGTATACACATTAAGCTGATATCATTTCCTAAATATTTAAATTCAGTTAAGAGTGTGTGAGTCACAGTGGAAGTAGCGTCTGTACTCACAGTTCGCATGGAGCTGGATTTTACAGATGTACAGTACAGTAGATGCCTGTTGCTGTCAGCTGTGTTCTGGTTATGTGATATGTAATCTGTAGCTGAGGCCGAGACCCTGGAGACAGTACGGTCATGACAGACATGGCTAGCCCAGATGCCGCATGCTCAATTTAAAGATTTCATGGTATTAACATTAGTGTCACTGGAAACTTTGCTCTGAGCTATTGCGTAATTACCAGCACATGCTCCAGAGAGCACAGCTCACAATGGCAGAGTGTAAACTGACTGCAGGCACTGTGCTGTCTTGCAGAACACAGATGTTTGGGAGCTTCATTACTGTAAGGGTACAGTGTAAGGCTCAGAGGCCTGCCACATGCATACAATATGACTTTTTTTCTCAGACCTTTTAGTATAAGTTAAAAACTGTAATTTGAACCCTTTATGCATTGTATTAATTTTTGGAACATTATGATGAACATTGACAATCTGACTTCAAGAGGTATTAAACTCTATAATTTACAGTAATTATAATTTTTCTTAGATAAAATTATGCTTCAATTTATATCTTCTGGTTGTGAAAGATGAAACTTCCTAAAAAACAAAAACAAAATCCAAAATACCTCATAAGGACAATTTTATTGTTAATAAAAGCAATAGGCAATCTAAAAACACACTGTGGAAAACCTGGATATGATAAATGTCATTCCACGCCTGATGCGTTTTAAATGTGGTATTTCTATTTAAAGATTTAATTCCTGATTCCCTAGTGCAGCAGACCCAGAGTTCTCTTGTCTTGAACACTTTTTTGGTGACCTATGAGCTACATTGATATCTACTGTATTATCTTTACCCCAGGTCATAACAGTGGACACATCAATGGATATAAGAAAGTGATGTTGCGCAGGTTAATGATCCATATTGTTCCAGCTCAAAGGCATCACTCCATCATTCCTTAGAGGTACCACAGGACAAAGTAAAAGCCACACTAGGTCAGCAAAATTGTCAACATTCATTTACTGTACATCTAAAAAAGAGCAAGATGAATCTGACACTGGAGTCTCATTTTTATCATATACCACACCCCTAACCCTGTTATCCTGACATTATTTATGTTTGCAATTTTCATCTGTTTTATATGCCACAGCTCAAACCATTTGGTCCTTATCAGCTCTGTTTCAAAGTGTCTGGATATGTGAGATTCATTTGAAATGGCAACGTTTACTAAAGGTTGTGGAGAGTACAGGCAATTTTCTCCCTTACCATTTTTGGTTACTTGCTTTCTTCATGCCTGTGTTTGCTCAAGAATAGGCTGTTTTGCATTTCAGTTTAAATTTGTGGGAGGGCACCTCTCTGTAGAGCTGTAGCAACTGAATTTCTTTTAGGAGAGACAAGGAAAGCCCTAAACAAAATGAGAATGAAGTAGAAGGTCTACCACACTATTCCATATGCATTTTAATTACCCAGGTAATTTAATATACTGTGTTCTATTATAGTGTCTAAATTCATCTTCTAAGATGATTCTAAGTCTTAATTTTAATGAAACACAAGATTAGTACAGTCTTTTTTATTGTCTTTCCTCAATAAAAAGGTAAATTTGAATCCTGGTACTGTACTGTACCTACAATATCTGTTCAGTTATAGTACTTCATGTAAAATGTACTTGAGCACTGAATCTAATGGTTCATATAAAACATACTGGCAAGGACTGTAGTGCCGCTGTAACATAGCTCTTTTCTCCTGGGTAAGATTCAAGTCCAGTGTGTCTTCTATGTGGATTTTGGATGGTCTCATTGTGTCCATATGTGTTTTCAACAAGGCACTATGGTTTCCTCCCTCTGTCCAAAGACTAAAGCTAAACCAGGGTAATTAGAGTGAATCTAGATTAATCCTCTGGGAATAGAACAGCTACAGAAAAGGAATGGTTGGATATAATATGTGGCTCTATTTTGCCTCATTGTGTACATTATGTGTACAATTGTTAGGTAAAATAACAAACATGAGAGTAACTATAAAGTCCTCACTTAAAATGTCTTACTGAGTTACTGAGTATAAAAAAATCTGGCCATTGCTTACAGGCTTCTCAGAATCAGTGTGATGATTCACCAGGATAATTAGTCTTTTCCAGATATATCTGGGGAACTGAAACATCATATTCGCTGGGGGTTACTGTACTTCACTACCTCATTGTTTGATGACATTACTCATTATGCATTTTGAAATATTTTTATATACTGTTAGAAAACATTAATCTAAGGAGACATTTGTTGTCTTATCAATTAGTGTTTTCTTCAACAGATTTCTATTTGGCTTTTCAATAGCGTGTGCTTTTCCCTTTTGTTGTGTGCTTACCACAAGATATGGGTTTCTAGTTTACTATGGTCTCCAAATCAATCAACTTCTTTGCTAGGATTAAGGAATTTCCATCACTTGGTAAGCTAAAATAATTATTCAAATATTTTAAAAATCTCCACTGGATGCCTTCAGAGTCAATAATGAAACACGTATCATAGGATGCAAGCAGAAACAAAAGGAAAGTGTATTAAAAATTGAGAACAAGAGTGAATAAGGCAATTCTGTGCACATAGGTTTGTATGAAGATGGAATGAGTTACCTAGCTTTATTACAAAAGATACAGTAAGTGATCTTTTAAGAAACTGGATGACTGGATGAGATCCTGAAGTCGGTTTTCTACTAGGACCTACTGTAAATGAGCCAAATGGTCCAGAATGACTACACTCAGTTTAAATCTTTCTTATGCTTTGTAATGTTTGTAATTTAGTCATTGTCAGCATATATAGTATCATTCTTCCAGGAACAACGGGGAATGACAGATCAAGTCTATCTCAATTTTCTCAACCCACAATGCACCCACCTGCCCATAGCACATTACTGTATGAAGATGTTGTACTCACCCTACAACCACAATAATAAAATCTAGTAAATTCCATCCATTGCGTAGGTACGCATTGGGGTGGAAGAGAAGTCCATAGGCTATGACTTTCAAAAATGCCTCCACTGTGAATATAATGAGGAAGAGATATTCCACCCGTTCCTGTGAGAGAAAGAAAAAGAGAGGAAGGTTAGAGTTTCTGTGGAAAGCCCTTCAGATGACAAAGTGCCTAAATGAAGCAGGGGGCATACAGATGAGACTCTGCCAAACACCCAGAACATCGCACCCAGACAAATGTGCAGCGTTAGAGGCAATTCTGTTTTGTGAACAGTCAGTGGAGTGTATCTTCATTGGTATTTCATCACAGCTTGGTTCACTGTGTCTTCAGCTCACCACATTCACTCCTGTAACTGAATTTAATACTATATTTCAATCCAAGTGGAATAAACCACTGGGATAAAAAGAAACCTTTCTAAATTCTGCTTTCCCCAGCCCTTATTTAGGTAAGTGTTATTTAATTAAATAAACCATCACAATATTCTATTTCCAAACTCCAAAATTACACAAATACCCACACAACTTTTGACGCTCAGAACTTTCACTGGGGTATGGATTGTCAGAACCTTACATGACTTTCCTAGCATATGACATAGATTCATTTTATAAATGAGCAGTGAAATATTTAGGAAATAATAAAAAAGAAACCATCCTAATATCAGCAATAAAGAGAAACAATTAGGAAACTGCACCATGCCTTGTTAAATATAGTTAAATGGTTTGTGTTTGCCAAAAATATTAAATAAAATTACTTATGTGACAGGCTCTCTGTTTGTCTTAATGTCACATTAAGAGAGCAATTATGCGTGATTTATAAATATGTAAGAGCATCTGTCTTAATCACTGTGGTGCAATAGTAGTACTGCTAATGTCACGGATTATGCTATATACAGAATTGACTAGTAAATAAATCATGCAAAAAAAGTGCTAACAAAAAAGTGGTACTGTACAACAAACCCAGCCACTTTACTACTGATCACGTCATGCACCACTGCTAATTTACCTATCCAAAACAATTCAAATCTATAGTTATGGTTAAAGAAGGAGTTTATATCAGTAATAATAATTGTTCACCAGATGATGCTGAATGTCAAGGTCTGTGACACCAGCACTTCAATACTGTAGTGTGGCAGACCAACCTCCATTTAAAACATTCAATATTAATATTCAATATTAAGAACTTTTGCCAAAGAAATATGAATACACATAGGGTTTTCAGGTAAATCCCTACGATCCAAGTCTGAGAATTGAGAATAGATAGATAGATACTTTATTGATCCCGTGAGGGAAATTGCAGTGCAACAGCAGCTTAACACACACAACACAGCCACAGTGTAACGAATTATATACTAATAGTACAATACATACAATACAATACAAGAGTTACTCACAGTCCGGACACACAAGAGCAAACTAGAACAGAACAGTACACAGAAAAATCATATCACACATATGAATATAAATATAGATGTAACCATAGATATAAATATAAATGTATTGCACAGGTCCCTGGCATATATTGCACAAAAGTGGTTATAAATGGGAAAAAGAAAAAGAAAAAGAAAGAGAACAGATGTAGCAGTAGATGTGTATATGCGTTTAGTCCAGAAACAGGTCACTGTCGATGTTGCCTCTGCCAAGACGCAAGGTGGATGCGTTGTACAGTCTTATGGCAGACGGCAAGAATTACCTCCTGTAGCGCTCCCTGTCACACCGTGGATGAATCACTCTATTGCTGAACGTGCTCTTCATTCCTGCAAGCCTGTCATAGAGGGGATGGGAGAAGTTGTCCATGATGGCCTTTAGTTTGGACATCATTCTCCTCTCAGCCACTACCTCCAAGGGGTCCAGGTCAGACCCAATGACAGAGCTTGCTCTCCTGATGAGCTTGTTCAGCCTTTTGGAATCTACTACTCTAATCCCAGAGCCCCAGCATACCACTGCGTAGAAAATGGCACTCGCTACCACCGACTGATAAAACATGTGTAGCATCTTACTGCACACATTGAAGGACCTGAGCCTCCTCAAGAAGTAAAGTCGGCTCTGTCCCTTCTTATAGATGGCCTCGATGTTCTTAGACCATTCCAGTCTATC